TATGTGTGTGAGGGTGGGGGGGTGGAGGTATGTGTGTGGGGGGGGTGTAGGTGGGAGTGTGTGCATGTGCTGGTGAGAGAGAGCGAAAACCCTGCTGGGGAATGAAATGTGGGGGGCAGGGCATTATTGAAGGGGTGCAGGGCTTGGTGAGCTGCTTGGGGCTCAGGCGCCTTCTCTCTGCTGCAGAAACACGACCCGATGCTCGGCGGGTGGTGGGTCCTTGAAGCATGGGTCAGTTATAGGCTCATCTCCTGAATTGTTTTGGGAAGGGCTCTTAGCGTGACCTTCTGTGAGAACCAGCCCTCAGACAGGCAGCGCAAGCCCTATTCCCCCCCCCCCCCCCCAGCAAAATGGGCCAGCGCTGGCCAAGGCGCTGCTACTTCCTAGTTCCTGTTTCTCTTCTGCCCCGATGGCCTTTTTTGGAGCCACCATCCAGCGCCAGGGGTGCAACAGGAGCTGGAGCCAATTGAGCTCACAGCACACAGGGCCCATGCTGTGATTATGAAAACAGGTGCCCACAGTCCCCCGTGGCACACAATCAGCGCAGGTGAAAGGCAGGGGCAGGGCGAGCCCCCAACCAGGGCAGATGCAGCTGAGCAGCTGCTGGTGCAGAGGGTGATAAGAAGGGGAGGGTTGGGGTTACTGCTTGGGACCCTATTACAGCATATGCTCGGGCAAATGACTGTTAGGTCCTGGGCTGCATCCCATAAGGCAGCAGGCTGGCAGCAGAGGGTGCCATGACAGGCTGTGCCCTGAATGGGCAGTGCCACCCTTAGGCAAAGGTTGGAGGAGCAGGAGACATCCGTGCTTCCAGTAGGAGGTGCTGACTGCACAGTGAGAGACACTAGAATAACCTCTTCCCCATTGGGGGCAGTGACCACTGGTGGCCTGGATAGAGTGGCACTTGCAGAGCTGGAAGAGATCGGGGGCGGGGGCAAGTGCCGGGCTAGCAGGGGGCTGTGGGTTGGATTTGCTGGGCACTGGAAGAGGTCAGTGGGGACAAGGGCTGGGCTAGCAGGGGCTGTGGGTTGGATTTGCCGGGCACTAGCAGGGCTGGTCGTGGGAGGAAGGACCAGAAAGTGCACTGCCTTCACACAGAGCCCAAATGAGACCTGGAGGAAGCAGAGGCAGGAAAGAGAAGTGGATCTATGCACCAAATTCCTTGTCACCGTGCCCCTCAGGGAAATCTCGGCCAGAGCAAACGCAGAAGCTGTCCGGCGCTACCTCCTCCAGCCCTGCAGCTACCCCCACAAGACACTGACAGCCCAAGGGCCCCCCTTTGGGTCACAGCTGGTCAAGGCATTGTGCTCTCTATATGGCAGCCACGCTAAGGGTGACAGCCTACCACTCACGAGGCACTGGCATCTGCCAGTGGGACCGGGGATCCTGTCAGAGCCACGGCACCTGCCAGAGCTGATCACCTGGCTAACAACCCAGTGCAGTAGTAGTAGTAGTAGGGCAGTTGTAGTGGTAGTAGTGGTGGTGGTGTGTTGTAGTGGTAGTAGTAGTAGTAATAGTAGTGAGGAGTTGTACTACGAGTAGTAATTGTTGTTGTAGTGGGGGTGTAGTAATAGTAATAGGAGTAGTAGTGGGGGTTGTAGTAG